ATTTTTGTGACAGAGAAAGAGAGAGAGAGAGAGCGCACAAGAGCACAGGAGTGGGGGAGGGACAAAGAGAGAGGGAGACACAGAATTCAAAGCAGGCTCCAGGCTCTGAACTGTCACTGCAGAGCCTGATGCAGGGCTCAAACGCACGAACCATGAGATCATGACCTGAGATGAAGTTGGATGCTTAACTGACTAAGCCACCCAGGTGCCCCTTATTCACCATTTCTAAAAATCATGTCAGCGACAGCAATTCTGCTGTGGTCTTCAAGTCTTCAATTGGTATCTGTAGCTACTGATTTTGGGGCCATGCTTCTCAACTGTCAGGTGTATGTGATCACCTGGGAATCTTGTTTCCCACCCCTTCCCTCCCCTTTCATCCCCCCTTAGAATAGAAAAGATATTTGGGCAATAAAATCTAAAGAATCAGAAGGAAGGGAGAGGCTGACATAACAGAGGGGGTGGATTAAAGAATGAAGTTCTTTAGAGGGTAGGAAAGAAGAGCATCCAGGCCCAGGAAAAGGACCTGGTTTTTGGTGAGAGGAGTTGGTTTTTGTAAAAGTGGGGAAGGAGAGAATGACTGGAGGTGTGTGGGTAGATTTAGAACCATGGCAGCAAGAAGTTGAAGGATGTAACATTCCCTATGTCCCACCCCTCAGCCACAACATGACTAGCCACCTTTCTGTCTTCAGCTTCTCTCTGTAGAGCTGGCCTATGGTAGGGAGAGGCGTAGGGAAATCGGACTGACCTCTCTATCTCCCAGGGCCAGTGCTTTGGTAAATAATATACAAGTAAGGTATTATTACTATTACTACTATACTATTGTTATTTTTTTTCCTTTAGATCAGCACTAACCAATAGAACTTTCTGCAATGATGGAAATATTTTATTTATTTATTTAGTAATTAAATTCTTTTAAAAAATATTTTAGTTTTAAGTAATTTCTCCACCCAACAGGGGGCTCGAACTTACAACCCCAAGATCAAGAGTTGCATGCTCTACTGACTGAGGCAGCTGGGCACCCCAGAAATGTTTTACGTCAGTGCTGTTCAATATGGTAGCCACTAGCCACATGTAGCTATGGAACACTTAAAACATGCCTAATGCAACTGAGGAACTAAATTTTAAATTAAGTTAAATTATTTGATGTAATCTCCTCCCCCCAACGTGGGGCTTATGACCCTGAGATCAAGAGTCACATGCTGTACTGACTGAGCCAGCCAGGCACCCCTATTTAATTTTAACTTATTTTAACTGACTGGGCCTCCCAGGTGCCCCTAATTACATGATTCTTAAGATGTGTTATGCCAGAGAGTATTCAATGCCACAATAAATGGTGTATTTACTTTATATTGTTTAATGAAAAAATAAAAACTGAAGGTATACTATAATTTTACTTTGTAAAAGTTATATATTTATATGCATAGGACAAGTTTGGAACTATATATATATGAACAATGATTACTATCACTGGGTGGGATTAAGAGGTGAAACACTTACTTTTCTTTCTTTCTTCCTTCTTTGTTTTTGAGAGAGAGATAGCTCAAGCAGGGGAGGGGGAGGGATAGAGAGAGAGGGAGAGAGAGAATCTCAAGCAGTCTCCACACCCAGTGTGAAGCCTGACGGTGGGGCTCAATCTCATGACCGTGAGATCATGACCTGAGCCAAAATAAAGACCTGGATACTCAACTGACTGAGCCACCCAGGTGCCCCTTATTTTTCTTTCTAAAACATCCATTTGATTTAAAAAAATGTATCTAATATTTCCAAAAAAAAGCAAAAATGTAGAGACAGTAGATCAATGGTTGCCTGTGGCTGGGAGTGGGAATGGGATTAACAGTAAATGAGTCTGAGGGATTTTATGGAGAATCTGTAAATGTTCTACAACTGATTTGATTTGCATCACTTGGTAACATTACTAAAAATCCTTGATCTGTGCACTTGAAATGCATGAATTTTTATGATATGTAAATATGCCTCAATAACATTAAAAAGTCTTTCTTTCTTTTATATATATTTACAGATATTCTTTTTTTAAAGTTTATTTATTTTGAGAGAAAGAGATGGGGGGGGCAGAGAGAGAGAGAGGGAGAGAGAGAATCACGAACAGGCTCTGCACTGTCATTGCGAAGTCTGTTACAGGGCTTGAACTCATGAACTGTGAGATCATGACCTGAGTGAAAATCAGGAGTCGGACTCTTAACTGACTGAACCACCCAGGTGCCTCTATTTATATGTATCTTTAAAAAAATTAAAGCAACGCACAAGTATTTAAAGTGCTCTATTCCCACACCTAGCTCTACTTTCAAAGCATAACAGTAGTAGTTGGTGTTTAACCCTGTCTAGCCTTTTTTTCTACACAGAATCCAAGGATAACATACACATTATAGATACATAATTTTTTGCAACTCTCTTCTCTCTCTAGACATACACTGTAGGGCACGATAAAGTTAACAGTAGCTGCTCTGGGATATGGGATTAGGGGTGGAGGGAGTCAAATGGGGGTGGGAAGGGAGAGGCACACTTGAAAGTTTTAGTGTCTTTACTTTCCTATCATTTGCATGGTTTTGTTTTTTTGATCAGGAATGTTTGGAGTTATCAACCCAATAAAGATATTGGAATAAGTGATACCATTGAATGCTTCATGCCATGCTGTCCACCTATTTAAAACAGTTTAGAAATTAATCTAGTGCCAGGCACTATACTGAGTGCCTGAGATATACTGTCTCATTGAATCCTTATAACAATCCTATGAGGTATGCAATACTAAGGCCTCACTTGACAGAGGAGTTAACTAAGACCTGGAGAGACTGATTCACCAAGGTTGCACAGCTAGTATGCACAGACCCCAGACCTGTATACCACAGCATCTCTTCTCCCTGAAGCAGATTCATGTTCTTCTTGGAAAGCCCAGCTTTAATGACCTCATTGCATGTGCATGTGTAGTCCTCCCTAACCCACTCATGTCTTCAAGGTGCTTACAGTCTGGGAAGGTGACAGTCAAAACAATTACGATCTAGTGCTATAAGATCTAAGAACCTCAAGGACTCTTTCAGGAGGGTAAAAAAAAGTGAGGGCGATTGGAGGTAGGGGCAGCTGTAGAAAGGGATTTGAGGCCTGGCTCAGGTGGCTCAGAAGTGTTACAGATTCTGGTAACTACAGTGTTGAAGTTCAGTGTGGCTGGAGGGTTAAGGTGGCCTGAAGGAGGGGCAAAGGTAAGGACAAGTTAGTACCTTGAAACTTAAGGCCTGATCACCAAACTATTTAAGTTGACTTAGAGTATTCATATTTTATTCCGTGAATGACGCAGAGCTGTTAAAATATTTGAATCTGGCGTGTTAGAAAGGGGCCCAGAAGGAGCTGTTGTGGGGGATCCCTCCTGGACTCCCAGCTCTCCAAATCCTGTTGCTGGGTGGTCAGGTCGTTTCTACCCTAGGCTGGGAACTCCTTTGGGGCAAGGACCTTGTGTCATTCACCTGTGCATCTTAACATCCAGCACGGCACCTGGTATGCAGCAGGGACTCAGTAAGGGGCTGAACTGGCTGGCAGAATGCTGTACCAAGAAAGTGCCCAGGCGTGATTCTGTAAAATAAAAAAGCAAAACTTCATTTCTTCCCTAGCATTGCCCAGGTAGGTGTTCAGCCAGTCTGACCCAACTATAAGGAGGTCAGAGAGGTCCTGGCCTCAAACTCAATTCCAGGTAGATCCACTGGGGTGGGAAAAGGAGAGGTGGTTGCTAAGCTGCAACTTCTGTTCAGTACCTGCTATGTGGTGGGAGAATTCACACCTATTGTCTTTTTCCATGTCTCCAACAGCTCCTAAATCGGAATTATTGACCTAGTTTCCCTTACCATAACACGGACTATCAGAATGGTTCTCTAATTTGGTCAAGGTCACACAGCCGGTAAGTGTAGGAGGGGCGGAGGCTGGGAGAGAATCTTTTAAGTCAAAGCCCACTGGCCTCTCCGTCCTTCACCTGGGGAGGCGTAGCGGAGCCTACTCGGCGGCATAGCCTTTGGGTTTGGGGGGCATTCCGTACCGGGGCGCAGGGCCGAAGGGGCGCAGGGCCGAAGAGGCCCGCTTGCCGCGGCATCCGGGAGCCGCTCCCAGATTCGGAAGTTACGAAGTTTCCGTGGATTTCGCTTGCCTCCCTGCGCAGCTCGTCCCCGCTCCGCAGCAGTTACGCCGCTAGCGCAGCAGGGCTCAGGTGCTGCAGCGGGCGGGGGCCTGGCGCCGGGAGAAAGGCGGGGACGCAGCTTACGTAAGCGTCCGCTCGCAGGTGCATGAGGCCTCCACCGGCGTGTGGTCCCTGCGCGCTCCCAGGTGCGCAGTTGGCGCAGGCGGCGGCGCGGCACGGCGCCGGCGGGCGCTGGCTGGCGCTCTCAGGTACGGCAGAGTGCGCGTGGAGGGGGCGCGCAGCGAGCGAAGGGGCGGGCTTTCCGTTCCCCAGCAGCCGCGGGGCCCGCCCCCCGGCTCGGCCAATGGGCGCGCTGGGCGGTGTCACGTGCTCGCCGCCGCCGCCGCCGCCGAAGCGGAGACCGGAGCCGCGAGCGCCACCAGGGCAGCAGCCGCCGCAGCCGCCGCCGCTGGGCAGAGGAGCCGG